CAACAAACAGGAAAAAAAGGCTCAACATCTGTAGCAATTAGAGAAATGCAAATAAAAACTATTCTAAGATCTCCTCTTACTCCAGTCAGAATGGCAATTATGAAGAATACAAGCAATAATAAGTGTTGGTGAGGATGGGGAGGAAAGGGCATACTCACACATTGCAGGTGGGACTGCAAATTGGACAACCACTATGGAAAGCAGTATGGAGATTTCTCAAAAAACTTGGAATGGAACCACCATTTGACCTAGCTATCCCACTTCTTGGCTTGCACCCAAAGGACTTTAAATCACCATACTACAGTGAAACAGCCACATCAATGTTTAGAGAAACTCAATTCACAATAGCTAAACTATGGAAACAACCTAGATGCCCCTCAATAGATGAATGGTTACAAAAAAAAAAAAATCAGTGCACATACACACTGGAATATTACTCAACCTTAAAGAAAAATGAAATTATGGCATTTACAGATAATATGATTTAAGTGAAATAAGCCAAACCCCCCAAAAAAAACAAAAGCCAAGTGTTTTCTCTGATAAGCCAATGATGATCCATCAAGGGAGGTGGGGGGTGATGAATAAATTTTGGATTGTGCAGAGGGGAGTTAGGGGAGGAAAAATGGTGTGGGTATGGGAAGGATGATAAAATTAGACAAACATTATTACCCTATACACATGTATGATTACCCTACTTTTGTGACACTGCACCATGTATAGCCAGAGGAATGAAAACTTGTGCTCCATTTTTGTACAATGTGTCAATTCTAAAATGAATTCTACAGTCATGTATTGTGAAGAGACACACAAAAATGCAAGTGATAGTTTCTGAACAAAAATTATTTTTCATAATAAAAAAACATTTACATTACTATGCCATGGCGCTAAATATATATCGTATATTTATATATATGTATATATACATGATCATTAGGAAGTGTTGTTATTTTCTTCTTATGACTCATTTATATTTGTATGAGAAAAACATGTCTGAATAGTCATGAATATTGGATATCTGTCAATTTTCCCTATATACATAACTAAATGTAACTTAAACTATATTTTCATATATTCACATTTATGTACATAGTAGCACAATTCACAATGGCCAAATTGTTGAAGCAGTTCAGATGCCCATCAACAGAAGAATGCATCAAGAAATCTCTTTCTCTCTTCATCCATCTCTCTCTCTCTCTCTCTCACACACTCACACACACACACACACACACACACACACACAGTTTTACACAATCATAAAGAAATTTTAAATATTAGCAATTGCCAGTAAATGGATGGAAATGGAGAATATTATGCTAAGTAAAACAGATTAAAAAAATCAAAGGTAAAATGTTTTATCTCGTGTCAGCTAGAGCAAAACTAGAAAAATGGGATTGGATATCATAAATATACAGGGGAGATTAGAGATTGAAAAAAGAAGGCACAGGAATGGAGAAAAATGTGGACAGAATTGAACAAAATGTTATTTGCATATATGAATATAACACTGTAAATTACATATTTTTGTATATATAAAGTACCAATGAAAAAGAAATAAATGAGAGAAAAAAAAGATTAGTAGATTAGACTAAGGAGAATATTAGGAGGAAAGATGGAAGAGAAAAGAAGGTAATGAGGATTAAAGGGAGAAAATAAAATTGAACTATGCATAATTTTGGCAAAATAAACAATATGTATAACTAAATGCTGTAATTAGAAAAATTCTTTTTTTATTTGTTGTTATTTTGGAAGTGGTAAGAATTACACTAAGGTTACCTCATAAGCAAGGAAATTTCTATACCACAGAGTCATAAACCCGACACAAATGTATGTTTCTAATCTTTATTTTTGGAAGATCATCTCATCACTCTTTCTCATATTTATTGTTTTAAGCCATTTATTATTATTAAAATAATCTTCTCATATCTCAAGTAATATTCTATTATTATCATCGTTATTATTTTCTTGACACGTTAAGAATTCCATTGTTCAGCCAAAACTTTGTACTATTTTGGATTTATGTCTTGTATATCTAATCCATCTATCGCTTGCATATCTAATCCAAAATCAAACCTTGTTTCTATAATGATCAATGTCATCAATCTCACCAAATATTCAGTCCTCTGGGCTTTACAGTCTCCTCATTCTTGCATTGGCTCCAGCTTAGGGTTGATAACACTCTAATCTACACTAGAACACAGGCCTTCATTTGTATCTACCACGCACTACACAAAACCTTGTGCCAGGATAAACAAACAAAGAATGCTGTCATCTGACGTTCCCATATTCATACAGAAGAAATTATACAAGTCACCTCTATGAGGAATAAGCCACACTGACAAACAATAATAGGAAAACACAACCCTGACAAATCAGTACAGAACAAAGAAAATATTTGACAACTTATTTTTAGATTGTCCTTACAAATATGCAGATATATGCTCATGACAAAATCCAATTTAGATAGCCATCTTTCTGTCTATAATTTTATTACCAACTCCACTTTTTCGAAGTCCAACTCTCACAGGTTTGCCACAGCTTTTATTCCAAGTTCAGTACGATCATATGAAACTGATTAAACATGACCAAATTTACCTTTCAATTACAAAATCAGACCTAATTTTTGAGGAAAAAATATGGCCTGCAGCTAAAGCATACTACATACAAAATTGACTTAACAAGTACTTATAAAGTATTCAATTTACAGTAGGTGACCACACTTTATTTTAACATGCTCATGGAACTCTCTCCAAAATAGGTCATATTGAAGGCCACAAAGAAAGTCCTAACAGAGAAAAAATGTGCAACCAATGCTTTATATCTTGTCAGGTCATTATTGCCTGAAATCAGTGGCAAGAAAAATTAAAGATACTATACAATCACATGGTGATTGAATAAAATACTTTTGCGTGTATGTCATAAAATAAATAAGGAGAGAAATTTTTAAAATCTTAGATTCAAACAATAGAAATACTATATACCAGAATTTCTGGGACACCATGAAGGAAGTTCTAAAAAGTAAGGAAAAAAAAGTTCTAAAAGTAAGAAAATGCAGTTATCAGTTCCTACATAAAATACCAGAAAGACACAAACAAAATAACCTAGTAATACATGTTAGTCTTATAAAGACAAAAATCAAATTATTCTCCAACTGAGTATAAGGAAAGAATAAAGATAAGAGATGAAATAGAGAATAAAAAGAGTACAAAGGATTGATGAAGAAACTAGTTGGTTCTTTGAAAAACATTAATGAAATGAATAAACCCTTAGACAAACAAATCATAGGAAAGAGAAATTCATAAAATTAGAGATGAAAGAAGCAATATCACTACAGAGGCCAATGCAATTGAAAGGATTATCAGGGACTATTTAGAAAAGCTCATATTCTAATACATTGGAAAATCTGGAAGAAATGTTAAATTTCAAGGCATACATGACCTACCAAAATTTAACAAACTGCATATTGAAAACATAAAATAACAATAAAATTCAATGCAGCTGGGCACAGTGGCACATGCCTGTAATCCCAGCAGCTG